AAAGGTTCAGAGAAAGGCTCTCTACCCTAAAATGCTACAGCAACTGAGCCACCTGTCCTCATTCTTCGGGTTCTTGCCCTTGGTGGGCGGCAAGTCGACAGGCGACGGAAGGTAGTCGCAGACGGCGTCCAGCAAAGGCTGCACGCCCTTGTTTTTGAAGGCAGTCCCGCAAAGCACTGGCACCAAGCTGAACGTAAGGGTGCCCTTACGGATGCACTTCTTGAGATCCTCCAGGGATGGTGCCTCACCAGACTCCAGGTAGGCTTCCAAAACTTCCTCGTCCTGTTCTACGGCCTTCTCAATGAGATTCTCCCGCCATTTGGCCACTTCCTCCTCCATGCCCTCGGGGATCTCATCCTTGATGTCGTACTTTGCCCCAAGCTCCTCACCAGTCCAAATCAAAGTCTTCATGTTTACAAGGTCGAAGACACCTTTGAAGGTGGAACCTTTGCCGATGGGCAGCTGGATGGGCACTGGGTTGGTTCCAAGCTGGTCTACCATCATCTGCACATCCTTGTAGAAGTCAGCGCCCTCACGGTCCATCTTGTTCACAAAGCACATGCGCGGCACCTTGTACTTGTCTGCCTGGCGCCACACGGTCTCACTCTGAGGCTCCACCCCGGCCACACCGTCAAAGACAGCCACTGCACCGTCTAGCACACGGAGGGAGCGCTCCACCTCGAGCGTGAAATCCACGTGACCTGGAGTGTCCACAATGTTGATTCGGTGGCCATCCCAGAAGGCTGTAGTCGCCGCGCTGGTAATCGTGATTCCTCGCTCCTGCTCCTGCTCCATCCAGTCCATGGTGGCCTGGCCCTCATGGACCTCGCCGATATTCTTCTCACGACCAGTGTAATAGAGGATTCGCTCCGTGGTGGTGGTCTTGCCAGCGTCGATGTGGGCCATGATCCCAATGTTGCGGTACTTCTCCAAGGGGATGGAGCCTTCTTTGCCACCTACCTGCTTCAGCTGGTCCAGGGTGGAGGCACGAAGCGCCACCTGCTGCCTTGCCGAAGTGCGTCGGCGCTGACGGCCCAC